ACATCCCACATGGGAACTGGTTCTAGTCCCGGCTGCTCCTCTTCCGATCCAGCTCTCTGCTATGACCTGGGAAGGCAGTAGAAGATGGCCCAAGGACTTGGGCCCCTGCACCCACGTGGGAGACCTGGAGGAAGCTCCTGGTTCCAGATCAGCACAGCTTCAGCCATTGCAGTCATCTGGGGAGTGAACCAGTGGGTGGAAGACCTCTCTTCTCTCTCTCCCTCTGTAACTCTGCCTTTCAAATCAATCAATCAATCTTTAAAGAACCAAAAGTACGAATACTTGATACGACCTTAAAGACGAAGGCAAAAAAGAGACAAGTGGGGTCCCATCAAACTAAAAACCCTCTTACAGCAGTGCAACAGTCAATCAACAGAGCGAAGGCACAACCCACAGAACAGGAGAAAATATTCACAAACTCTGCCCCTGACGAGGGGGCACAAAGAAGCAATTTCAGCCCAAAAACAGCACCCAAAGGAGCCAGAGAGAGAGCAAGAGCTGTACACAGACACCCCTCGAAGGAGGACACACAGATGCCCAAAGGGACCCGAGCAAAGGCTCAGCACGGCGAATCGCCACGGGAGCGCAGAGCCAGCCCGGGGAGAGAGCGTCTCCCTTGTCAGGTGCAGGAGATAACGCACACCAGCTAGGAGGTGAGGGAGGGCACCCTCGGAGGCTGCGGGTGGGAATCTGCGCAGTCGCGGTGCAAGGCAACACAAAGGCTTCTCCAGAAACTACAGCTAGAACCACCACAGGTGGCCGGCGCCATGGCAGAGTGGGTGAGGCTGCTGCCCGCAGCGCCGGCATCCCATATGGGCACCAGATCAAGTCCTGCTGCTCCACTTCCCATCCAGCTCTCTGCTGTGGCCTGGGAAAGCAGTAGAAGATGGCCCAAGTGCTTGGGGCCCTGCACCCGCGAGGGAGACCTGGAGGAAGCTCCTGACTCCTGGCTTCAAATCGGCTCAGCTCAGCCACTGTGGCCAATTGGAGAGTGAACCAGAGAATGGAAGACCTGCCCTCTCTCTCTCTGCCTCTGCTTCTCTCTCTGTGTAACTGTGACATTCAAATAAATAAATACATCTTTAAAAAAAAAAAAGAAAGAAAGAAACTCAGCCTGCTGCAGGTTTACTGAATTTCTGTCCAGCCCTGCTGAGACCACATGGTTCTGTGTTCCTTACACGGCCTGTGGGCTGAAACCTTGCCAGCCCCGGGACTCCCATGGTAACCGATTTGAGTTCTCACGGCGTGTGCGATGCACTGACACATCACGTGGGACCCCGTCAGAGTGTACAATTTTTATATATCAGCTATAAAGGTTTTACAAATAGATTTTTAAAAAAATTATTTATTCATTTGAAAGTCAGAGTTACAGAGAGACAGGAGAGGCAGAGAGAGAGAGAGAGGTCTTCCATTCACTGATTCACTATCCCAGATGGCTGCAACGGCTGGAACTGTGCCGATCCAAAGCCAGGAGCCAGGAGCTTCTTCCAGGTCTCCCACATGGGTGCAGGGGCCCAAGGACTTGGGCCATCTTCCACTGCTTTCCCAGGTCACAGCACAGAGTTTTATGGGAAGAGGAGCAGCCGGGACTCGAACCAGCGCCCATATGGGATGCCAGCACTGCAGGCGTCAGCTTACTCGCTACGCCACAGCGCCGGCCCCCTAAATAGGTTTTAAAAGACTACACTCTCTTTACCTGAAATGTCCAACGCAGAGCAATCTAGAAATGGAGACAGGGCAGTAGCGGTTGCCCGTGGCTGGAGGGTGGACAGGGTAAGGGGAGATGATAACTGCAGGGTAAGAGTTCCTTCTGGGGGTGACAGAAATGCTCCAAAATTGAGCGTGATGCAGAGTGCGCGATCGGAATGTACTAACACCCCCTGAATCTGACCGAAAGAGAATGACCTGCAGCGTAAGCGAATCAGCTCTCGATGAAGTGCTCAACTCTTTTTTTTTTTTTTGCCCCAGGCCAAATGTATGAACACGCTATTTTCCAGACAGCTCTGACATGCAGGCCAGGGGCTGACAAACTTCCTGTCAAGACCACAAGGCAGGGCTGGTGCTGTGGCGTATGGCGGGTTAAGCTGCCGCCTGTGACTCGGGCATCCCAGATGGGCGCCGGTTCGAGTCCCAGCTGCCCCATTTCTGATCCAGCTCCCTGCTGTGGCCTGGGAAAGCAGTGGAAGATGGCCCAAGTGCTCACGCGCTCTCTCTCTCTCTGTCTCTTTCCCTCTCCCCCCACCCCCGTAACTCTGCCTTTCAAATAAAAATAAATAAAACAAGAACCACAAGACACAATTCCAGGCCTTGCAGGCCACGCAGTCTCTGCTGGGAACTCCCAACTGCCCGTTCGGTGAAAGCACCTGGAAATGACGGGTAAATGAAAGAGCACTGTCTCTGTGCCAATAAAACTTTATTTGTCATTTGCTCAAAAAAAAAAAGAAAACAAGTAGCAGGCTAGCTTCCTGGTCTACGCATGACAAACCCTGCCTGGATTTCACAGCGCACCCTAGGAGGCTGCCGGGGCTGGGGTAGGGGGTGCCGGTACACACTTGGAGCACCCGTGATGGCTCAAGTCCCTGCACCCGCGTGGGAGACCTGGAAGAAGCTCCTGGCTCCTGGCTTCGGATCGGCGCGGCGGGTTAGAGGCTCAGCTTGGTCACCTGGCTACACACACTCACCCCTGCTGCGCCCCCGGCCCAGGAAAACAGCGGAAAGAGACGGCCACTCCCGATGTCCCCCCGCCCCGTAACTCTGCCTTTCAAATAAAAATGAATAAATAAAACAAGAACCACAAGGCACAAATTCCAGGCCTTGCAGGCCACGCGGTCTCTGCTGGGAACTCCCAACTGCCCGTTCGGTGAAAGCACCTGGAAATGACGGGTAAATGAAAGAGCACTGTCTCTGTGCCAATAAAACTTTGTCATTTGCTCCAAAAAAAAAAAGAAAACAAGTAGCAGGCTAGCTTCCTGGTCTACGCATAACAAACCCTGCCTGGATTTCACAGCGCACCCTAGGAGGCTGCCGGGGCTGGGGTAGGGGGTGCCGGTACACACTTGGAGCAGCCGTGTGGCCCAGGCGACAGACAAGGCCCCACTGGGCATGCCCACGCAGCCAGGACACCTCCCACACGGGGCAGCATGGAGCCAGGCTGTCACATCAAGTCTCCCAGCGCCTCAGAGACCCTCTCCTAACCCCCCTGCCCCGGCCTCTGATGACCTCAGGGCCACACTGCAGTCTCCCCCGAGAACAACCGGCCTGGCGCGACTTCCCCCACGCTGAAGCTGAGAACTGGAGGAGCCTTCTAGAACGCAGACACGCACATGCGCACATGCACGCACACACATGAGCGCACGCACACAAACAGGCATGCACACACGCACGCACCCACACACATACGCACGCACACACACACGCGCGCGCGTGCACGCGGGGGCCTGGTCTCCGTGTCTCCTCGCCCCTTGCTGCGTTCCCTCATCCACGCGTGTTTTCTCTGCATCTGACTGCCGACCACGCACCGGGGACATCCGGGGGATCCGCACTCCAGAGGAAGCCGGCGGGTCCAAGGCCAAGTGAGCCGCCTCCATTTCAACCCTTTCCTTCTGCGCCCTTTGCTGGTGCTGGGCCCCACTGGGGACGCCCGTCCTTTTCTGCTAATGGCTCTTCCTGGCACACCTGCGGGCCCTGACCGGGGGGGGGGGGGGGGGGGGGGACACACACACACACACACACACACACACACACACACACGACACATCTCATTTGTATAACCAGGAGGCGGCGCTGTGGTGTAGTAGGTAAAGCCGCCGCCTGCAGTGCTGGCATCCCATATGGGCTACGGTTCGAGTCCCGGCTGCTCCACTTCTGATCCAGCTCTCTGCTGTGGCCTGGGAAAGCAGTGGAGGATGGCCCAAGTCCTTGTACCCGCGTGAGAGACCCGAAGAAGCTCCTGGCTCCTGACTTCGGATCGCCGCGGCGGGTTAGAGGTTCAGCTTGGTCACCTGGCTACACACACTCACCCCTGCTGCGCCCCCGGCCCAGGAAAACAGCGGAAAGAGACGCCACTCCCGATGTCCCCCCGCCCCACCCCCAAACCCCGCTCCTGCGGGGAACCAGCGTCACCGCCTCCCACAGGCCTCCTCGAGTTGGGAGGCAGAGGGGTCGCCCACTTGTTCAGGACAGACGGCTAGACACGGCCAGGAAGCTGCAGCCTTGACCTCTGCCCTGTGACCTTGGCCAAGTCCTGACCCGCGACCCGAACCTGCCCCGTTTGAAACCTCGGCTGACCCTCGCTTCCCTTAGCAGACGCCTCGTGCTCCCATTAACCATGCGAGCCCGGTCCCGCCGCCCGGCCCTGCACGCCCAAAAGCTCGCTCTCAGCCCACCCCAGCCCGACGTGGCCCCTCACCTGTCGGCGGCGCGTAGGCCCGGGCCGGGGACCCCAGGGCTGGCCCCGGCCCCACGGGCCGAGTCAGGAGGCGGCGCCCCCGGTCCCGCAGCCGGAGGCAGCTCCTCCACATCGCGCCCCAAGGGCCTCGGGCGCACGCGGGGCGCGAGACCAAGCCGCGCTGTCCGGCTGTACGGAAACCTCTCACGCCTCCCCGGATCCCCTCAGCCGCCTCTGGACGCCGCCATCTTCCGCATAAGCCCTACGGCGCACCGTAGCCGCCGCGCGCCTCCTGCGCACACCGCCCCCGCCCCGCCGGAGAACCTGCATCACAAACGCTCCTCGCCCCGCCCCTCCTCCGCGCCGCGCCTCCGGAATAAGACTACAATTCCCAGAAGTGCCCTCGCGCTGCCCGCCACGTGTTTTCTCTGCTCGCCAATGGGCGGAAGCGCCGCGTGAGCTTGCTCCCGCCCTCCCCGGCGCTCCGGAGCACGTGGAGGGAAAGTAGAGTAGGGGTCTGAGCTCAGTACCGGGAGGCCCTGCTCGCAGGTCCAGGGTCGCGGGGGCGGCCGGAGTGCTCGGTGCGCAGCGAGCGGGCGCCCCCCCCCCCGCCCGTGCCCCGCGCGTGCGCGCTGTGCCCCTAACGGCCCGGCACGCGCGCGGCAACGGTGGCGGTTCCTCTCCCCTCCCCTGCCCCTTCCCCGCGATGCCGGTGCGCACCGAGTGCCCCCCGCCGGCCAGTGCGTCTGCCGCGTCCGCGGCCTCGCTCAACCCGCCGCCGCCCATCAACACCCAGCAGCCCGGCGTGGCCACCAGCCTGCTCTACAGCGGCTCCGAGTTCCGTGCCCACCAGAAGAGCAAGGGGAATTCGTACGACGTAGAGGTGGTGCTGCAGGACCCTCTGGCCGGGTCCTCCCGCCTGCTAAGACCCTGAGGGAGCCTCCCCGAGTCTCCCAGACCGAGACCCGCTGTCCAGGGTCCTCCTCTTGGGGCCCTCCTCCTGCTGGAGTTTGCTGCGGGCAGAGCAGGATCTCCCGGTGCAACCCACGACTGCTGGCTGCTCAGACCGGGCACTTTCCGCCCGGGTGCTGTCAGCATCTTATTAACTGCCATGCCCTTCCCCGCCCTCTCGAGCGGCTGTGAAACCCCCAAACTCTATGGAATTCAGGGAGAATCGCCCACAGGACGGGAGCTGCAGGTCAGAGCTGTGGGTGAGCGAGTGTGGCTCAGCTGTTCCAAACGCTTCCCCAGTGCCAAGGTCAGCAGATGACGGTACCTACAAGTGCTCTGGCAGGTTTCGCAGGGAACACCTTTGTCACCAGCACCAAGCCTGGAGGCACCTCGGCGTCCCTGCGGTGCTGGCATCCTCTGGCTGCCCGAGTTCATTGCTGCGTGGAGGCCTTGCCTTAGTGTCTGATTTATGGCGTTACCCGGAAGTAGTTGCCGTCTCAGACCTGATAAATGGCACAAAAACTTGTCCAGTTTCTCAGCCCGAGCCCTCGCGTGACGTGAAACATCTCAGCGTGTGCTCCAGGGAGCACGATGCTTTAATCCGAGGGTTTCCTGTGCCAGGAATCCCGCTCAGGATGACGCCACGGGTGTGGGATGTACTATGCGAGTTCAGCCACAAAGTAACCATGCCGGTCTCAGAGCCACATAAGAAGTCACTGGAGCTGTCACAGCACACCTCGAGGCGTGTGGAGCTGGTGTGGTTGCAGGCTGGGTCCTGGCGGGACCCACAGCGGGCCCGGTAATCTTCCACCTTCCCTCGCAGCCAACCCTGACATTCCCTGTCCCATCTGTCTCGGTCTCCGAGAATGGACCCTGCACACAGAGCCTCCAGCCACCGGGTAGCAAAAGCCCTTGCTCGCTCACTCACCACTTTGAAAGCCCTCCATCCCTAACCTAATGGCTCCAAGGGCAGCAAGTTTACTGTACACCCAGCAGGGTTGAGCAGGTCTCTTGGGGCGGGGGAGGCCAGCGTGGAAGAAGAGGAAATTGGCTGGTGGGTGGGCATCGGCTGGCGGCTGCCACCCTCAGAATCCACTGTGCCCCTCGCGCCTCTTCCTCCTGGGCTCCTGGCTCTTGTCATTAGAAACATGAGCGTGTGGACAGGGCGGGCACTCACAGGGTGGTCAGGGTGCTTGACTGGCATCTTAGTTTGTGGCTGGCACGTGCTGTGCCACGGGGGTTTGCTAAGAGGCTGCTTGGAGTCTTCTGCCCATTCGTGGGACGGTCACGCAGCACCGACGCGGAAATGGACTAGGGAGAGAAGTCAGCCGGGGTCAGGGGTGGCGGGCACCACGTGCACGGGTGGGGAGGGCTCGTGCCACAGCCTGCAGCCCAGCCAGAGGCCTGAGCGGTCAGTGAGCGGTCCAAGGTCCTCAGCTGCAGGGAGCTGACAGCGTTCTGGGACCAGCTGGCTTTGTCTACAGGCCACTTGGCGCATGTGTACAGGGGACTCCTGAGGGCCCCGGGGGCTGGTGGGGAGCCTTGGGCTCTGCCGCCTTCCCCAGCCTGGCCTGGCGGGATCTCGCAGCACCGCGGCGTGTCCCCCGCTGGATATGTTGTTCATCTGCGTGTCTTCTCTTTGCAGCACGTGGACACAGGGAACTCTTACCTTTGTGGCTACTTGAAGATTAAAGGCCTCACCGAGGTAAGCCCCTGTGCACTCCAACCAGAGCCCGGAAGGGTCCAACTCACCGCAGCCTCACAGGGAGAGGGGCAGGCTGTCCCCACCCGGGACCCGAGCAGAGCACGTGGTCGGTCGCCAAGCACCTGTGCTGCGTGGGGAGCGGGCAGCATTGTGGTCGTGGCACATCCTGTCGGAAGTCATTCAGAGGAAGCTGTGTAAATGATGTCCCGGTGTGACCCACGCTGTTGGTGTTGTTTTGAAGTCCTCCAGGAGCAGGTCGCCCTTAGTAAGGGAAGCCCCTGCAGTGCTGAGCATTAGTCAGGCTCCTCAGAGGAGGAGGGTGTGCCAGCCTTGGCCTTCCCCGGGGTCCAGCCTCACACAGCACGGAGACTTGTCCCTCCCCGGTGCAGATGGCGTGGCCTTGACAAGCGCTGGCTCCTCTGCACAGGCCCAGATATGGGCTTAGCGCAGCCAGCGCAGGGACATGTAGTGAGAGAGGGCCCAGCGCGTTTCCAGGAGGCCCCGGCCATGTCAGGCCTCAGTTGCATACCTAGGGGCTCTAGGTCACATACCACCAGTGGAGCCATTGTGAATGGGCAGGGCCTGGGCTTCCAGCATAGTCAGGGTTGTGCAACCATTTTTTTTTTTTTTAGGATTTATTTTATTTATTCGAAAGAGTTACAGAGAGAAGTAGAGACAAAGAGAGAGGTCTTCCATCTGCTGGTTCACTCCTCAAATGCCGCAACAGCCGGAGCTGTGCTGATCTGAAGCCAGGAGCTAGGAGCTTCCTCCAAGTCTCCCACGTGGATGCAGGGGCCCAACCACTTGGGCCATGGAATGACTTTTTTTTTTAAAGATTTATTTATTTATTGGAAAGTCAGAGTTACAGAGAGAGAGGAGAGCCAGAGAGAGAGAGATCTTTCATCTGCTGGTTTACTCCCTAGTTGGCTGCAGTGGTCAGAGCTGTACCAATGCAAAGTCAGGGGCTTCATCAGTGTCTCCCACCTGGATGCAGGGGCCCAAAGACTTGGGCCATCTTCTACTGCCTTCCAAGGCCGTAGCAGAGAGCTGGATCAGAAGTGGAGCAGCTGGGTCTCTAACCGGCACCCATATGGGATGCTGGCGCTTAAGGCCAAGGCATTATCCCGCTGAGCCACGGCGATGGCCCCCCTGAAGACTTTATGTATTTATTTATTTTTTGACAGGCAGTGTGGACAGTGAGAGAGAGAGAGAAAAAAAAAGGTCTTCCTTTTTGCCGTTGGTTCACCCTCCAATGGCCGCCGTGGCCAGAGCGCAGTGGCCGGTGCACAGCGCTGATCCGAAGGCAGGAGCAATGTGCTTCTCCTGGTCTCCCATGGGGTGCAGGGTCCAAGCATTTGGGCCATCCTCCACTGCACTCCCGGGCCACAGCAGAGAGCTGGCCTGGAAGAGGGGCAACCGGGACAGAATCCGGCACCCGAACCGGACAAGAACCCGAGAGGCTGGCACCACAGGCAGAGGATTAGCCTAGTGAGCCGCAGCACTGGCCCCCTGAAAGACTTTTTTAAAAGTATCCATCTGGACTTTGGACACAGTGCTTACCATAAATGCAAAGCGTACCAGGAAGGCTGAACATTCTACAGCCCTGAAGAAGACTAAAGTACCTCCCGTGCTCCATGAGGAGGTACTTTCACAACCAGACCAGGTTCAGGCTCAGCATCCAACCCTGACAGAAGTCACAGTTCAACCTTTTGATGTAGAACTTACCCTAACTCCAGAATCCATTGTGGAGGGTGAACCACTCCCAACCATGCAGGAGACTTCAGGGCAGCCTCCAGGGCCACATAATGAAGTGGTCTGTCAGCCTCCAGTTTATTATGAGATGGTAGTTCCAAAACCAAGTCAAGATCAAACTCCGCATCCAATGTCACCCAGTGGCACAGCTGAACCTTCGAAGTTAGAGTCAACCATAACTCAGGTACCCACTACACAGGATGAACATTCTACAGCCTTCAAGTCTATATCTCCTCCTCCTTATCCAATGTACCCTGAGGTGACATTTTCACCTCCAGTCCAGATTCAGACTCAGTATACAAACCTGCCTCAAGTCACAGTCAAGCCTCTGGACCTGGAAATTACCCAAACTCCACAACGTACTACAGAGGCTACACCTTCTACTACCATGCAAATGACCCTAACTCAGTCTACAGAGCCACTAAAGGAGCTCGTAACTCAGTCCCCAGGGGACAATGAGATGACAGTTCCAACAGCAGGTCAGCATCAAGCTCAGCACCCAACATCACCCAGTGTCATAGCTCAGCCTTCCAAGATGGAGCTAACCATAACTCTGGTACCCACTGCAAAAGCTGGCCATTCTCCATCCCTGAAGAAGACTACAGATCTGCATCCAGGCCAGGTTCAGACTCAGCACTCAACCCTAACTGAAGTCACAGATCAACCCCTGAATGCGGCTGCCACCATAAATGTCTGTGAGCTCTGCACCTGCAAAGATGAGACACTTTCGTGCACTGGCCTCAGCCCAGTGCAGAAGCTTCACAGAGTTCCTGTACCAGAGCCCAACAGCTACAACGGCACCTTCAGCATGTTGTAAGAATCTCCCTTCCTCATGGTTCCCTACAGCCTGCCTGTCTCAGCAGCTTTTCCTCAAGAGCCTCCTGAGCCCTCCTCAAGTCCCCACCTTATGTTGACTCTGTGTGTGTGCGTGTGTGTGTGTGTTTTGGCAGGCAGTTAGACAGAGAAAGAGAGAAAGGTCTTCCTTTTGCCATTGGTTCACCCCCCAAGTGGCCACTTTGCTTGTGAGCTTTCCTGATCCTCCTTCTCTTCTTCTCTCTGTCCCTTCTACAGTCTCATGTGATTGCCCTTACTCCTTTTCCTGATTCTTTATTTATTGACATTTGCCATATTATTACCTCATTGCTTTACTCCCACTCTTCAACACAGCCCTCATCCCAACATATTAGAGATGATACAACAGGTTTAAGGATAGATTCTGGAGCCAGGTTGCCTGGCTTTGAACACAGGTCTCCCAGTGATTAGCTTTGTGACTTTCGACAAGTTATTTAGCTTGGATTCCATCTCTTCATCTATAAAACTGGATTATGGCCGTGATCAGTTCACTAGACCGTTGTGTATTTAGATGAGTGGATGCATACAATACATCACTTCCAAGCATATGTGAATGTAAACTCGTAATAAATACCATTATTGCTGAGCCCCTCAGTTGTAGCCTGACCTTACCTTTGTTCCTCTATACATAGTAGCCATTTTGTGCCATTCCAGGGTGTCATAGGAACCACAGATAGAGCACAGTTATTCTAAAACTTTACCTGAGGTTTACAACATGGCCATTATTTGTAAAATCAAGAAAAAAAAAGGGGGGGGGAGTCTGTTTTAGGCAAAGATTTGTCTGATGGAATGATCAAGATTTAGACTGTCTGGCTACAAGAGATGGACTTAGGAAGCAATGAAAGATATGCAAACAAACTTGAATATTGGCTGAGGGGTTTCAAAGTTCATAATGAGATATGGAGTGTCATTAAAAGCTTGTGAGTAAGAGAAAGATGATTTAAAATGGGGGGTATTTTAATCTACTATTTTCTTTTTAAAGGTTTTTATTTATTTACTCGAGAAGCAGTGCAACAGAGAAAGAGGTCTCATTCGCTTATTCATTCTCTAAATGCATGCAATGGCAGAGAGTGGGGAGGCCAGTGCCGGGAGCACAGAACTCAAACCATGCATGTGTATACAAAGGCTGTTGATTTTTGTGCATTGATTTTATATCCTGCTACTTTGCCAAACTCTTCTATGAGTTCCAATAGTCTCTTAGTAGAGTTCTTTAGATCCCCTAAATAAAGAATCATATCATCTGCAAAGAGGGATAGTTTGAGTTCTTCCTTCCCAATTTGTGTCCCTTTAATTTCTTTTTCTTGTCTAATAGCTCTGGCTAAAACTTCCAGAACTATGTTGAATAGCAGTGGTGAGAGTGGGCATCCCTGTCTGGTACCAGATCTCAGTGGAAATGCTTCCAACTTTTCCCCATTCAATAGGATGTTGGCTGTGGGCTTTTCATAAATTGCTTTGATTGTATTGAGGAATGTTCCTTCCATACCCAGTTTGTTTAGAGTTTTCATCATGAAAGGGTGTTGAATTTTATCAAATGCCTTCTCGGCATCTATTGAGCTAATCATGTGGTTTTTCTTCTGCAGTCTGTTAATGTGGTGTATCACATTGATTGTTTTGCACACATTGAACCATCCCTGCATACCAGGGATAAATCCCACTTGGTCTGGGTGGATGATCTTTCTGATGTGTTGGTGCATTCTATTGGCCAGAATTTTATTGAGGGTTTTTGCATCTATGTTCATCAGGGATATTGGTCTGTAATTCTCTTTCAATGCTGCATCTTTTTCTGGCTTAGGGATTAAGGTGATGCTGGCTTCATAGAAAGAATTTGGGAGGATTCCCTCTTTTTTGATTGTTCTGAATAGTTTGAAAAGATTTGGAGTTAGTTCTTCTTTAAATGTCTGGTAGAATTCAGCAGTGAATCCATCTGGTCCTGGGCTTTTCTTTGTTGGGAGGGCCTTTATTACTGTTTCAATTTCTGTCCCAGTTGTGGGTCTGTTTAGGTTTTCGATGTCTTCCCGGTTCAATTTAGGTAGGTTGCATGTGTCCAGGAATCTATCCATTTCTGATAGGTTTCCCTGTTTGCTGGCATACAATTCCTTGTAGTAATTTCTGATGATTCTTTTTATTTCTGTGGTGTCTGTTGTTACGTTTCCTTTTTCATCTCTGACTTTATTGATTTGGGTCCTTTTTTAGTTAGTTGGGCCGATGGGGTGTCAATTTTATTTATTTTTTCAAAAACCAGCTCCTCGGTTGGCTGTTTTTTTTTTGTCATTTTTTTTTTTACTCAATCGTATTGACTTCTTCTCTGATTTTAATTATTTCTCTTCTCCTACTAGATTTGGGTCTGGTTTACTACAGTTTTTCTAGATCCTTGAGGTGAATTGAAAGCTCATTTATTTGGTGCCTTCCATTTTCTTGATATAGGCACCTATTGCTATAAACTTTCCTCTTAACACTGCTTTTGCTGTATCCCATAAGTTTTGGTATGTTGTACTGTTTTCCTCATTTACTTCCAGGAAGTTTTTGATTTCTTCTATGACCCAGTGTTCATTCAGGAGCATGTTGTTCAATCCCCATGTGTTTGCATATGCTCTAGGGATTCCTGAGTTGCTAATTTCCAACTTAGTTCCCTTATAGTCTGAGAAGCTACATCGTATGATTCTAATTCTTTTGAATTTGCTGAGACTTCCTTTAAGGCCTACTATGTGGTTGATCCTAGAGGAGGTTCCATGCACTGCTGAGAAGAATGTAAATTCTTTAAGTGTAGCATGAAAAGTTCGGTAAATATCTATTAGATCCATTTGGGCTATAGTGTTGTTTAAATCTACTGTCTCCTTGTTGATCTTCTGTCTGGTTGATCTGTCTATTTCTGAGAGTAGAGTATTGAAGTCCCCCAGTACTATTGTATTGGAGTCTAAGTCTCCCTTTAAGTCCCTTAACAAACCTTTTAAATAAACCGGTGCCTGCAATTAGGTGCATATACATTGATAATAGTTACATCTTCCTGTTGAATTGATCTCTTAATCATTATATAGTGCCCCTCTTTGTCTCTCTTAACAGTTTTTGTGTTGAAGTTTATGTTGTCCGATATTAAGATGGCTACGGCTGCTCTTTTTTCATTTCTGTTGGCATGGTATATCTATTTCCAGCCTTTCACTTTCGGTCTGTGTGCATCTTTGTTGGAAAGATGTGTTTCTTGTAAGCAGCAAATAGATGGGTTTTGTTCCTTAACCCAATCAGCCAATCTGTGTCTTTTAACTGGACAGTTGAGGCCATTAACGTTCAATGTGACTATTGATAAGTAGTAACTTTGCCCTGCCATTTCCCAAAGATATTTTCTAATATATGCTTTGAACTTCCTGTGATCTTTTGCTGTGAGGTTTCCTTCCTTTACCTTCTTACATATTGATGACCGTGTTTCCGTGTTTCTGTGTGTAACACATCTTTAAGCACCTTTTGCAGGGCTGGACAAGTGGCAACAAATTCTTTCAATTTCTGTTTGCTATGAAAGGTCTTTATTTTACCTTCATTCACAAATGAGAGCTTTGTAGGATATAGTATTCTGGGCTGGCAGTTTTTCTCTCTTAGTACCTGGGCTATGTCTTGCCATTCCCTTCTAGCCTGTAGGGTTTCTGATGAGAAGTCTGCTGTAAGTCTGATTGGAGATCCTCTGAGAGTAATCTGACGTTTCTCTCTTGCACATTTTAGAATCTTTTCTTTATGTTTCACTGTGGTGAGTTTGATTACAACGTGTCGTGGTGAGGATCTCTTTTGGTCATGGTTACTGGGGGTTCTATGAGCTTCCTGTACTAGGATGTCTCTGTCCTTCTCCAAGCCCAGGAAGTCCTCTGCTAGTATCTCACTAAAAAGGCCTTCTAATCCTTTCTCCCTCTCCATTCCTTCAGGAATTCCTAGAACCCAAATGTTGGGATTTTTTTTTTTTACTAGTATCCTGTAGATTCCTAACAATATTTTTTAGATTTCTGATTTCCTCTTCTTTTCTTTGGTTTGACTGTATGCTTTCCTGTGTTCTGTCTTCTAAGCCCTGAGGTTGCTATTATGCATGTCCAAAATGGCATCTGTTCACTGTCTTGCTCGCCTTTGAGAGGTGAGCGGAGAGAGTGAAACTCCTGTCCGTACTGGTCCCTTTTATTATTTTCCTCTCTCCTGTAGTTAGCCTGGTGAACTTTCGCCTACGGGGCTTCAAGCCTCGTTCCCTCTAGGCTCCTTCTACTTTCCTGCCGGTTGTCTCAAGCTATTGAGGTTCGGTTCACTTCACGATCCAGCACTGGTGGGTAGATTCTGCTGCTGGTGTCCCGAGCTGTGGACTCCCACGCCCTCCACCGTGAATCACTAGTTCTGGAAGAGTTTCCCTCTGCTGTTTCTTCCACAACTCTTCCTTGAATCTGCAGTATCTCCACTTTTATTAAACTGTCTCTTCCCGGACTATCAGTGTGCTCCCTTCCTATTCATCAAATGTAAATTTTATTATCCCCACTGACTATATAGGTAATAGCTAATCAAGGCAATGTTTTCCTTTTCCTAGAGATTTATCCTGCAACAAAATGGAGTCTATCGAAAGACGTGCATTTGAGTCACTCCCTTTTTTGCAGTCTATGTAAGTTGCAATTTCATCATATTTGGAATTTGAGTAAATCTTCCCTGTAAACCACCTTGCTGTTCACCTTGAAATAGGGTGAAGCTTCTACTTTACATTTGTAGTAGAAGGTTACTAAAATTCTGTAACAGGTCCTTTTCATCTCTAGCACAGATGCTATCAGATACAAAGGTCAGAGTGAATCCCACAGAGCAGGGCTTCTCAACCAACTCAATTTTGTATTCAGGTAACATTTTGCAGCCCTGCACATGCTGCTGGCACCTAGTGGGCCAAGGCCAGCCTGCTGTTAAGCCACCTACTATATACAGGACAAACCTCCACAAGAAAGGCATTATCGAGCCCAAAATGTCAATAGCATTCAAGTTGTGAAACTCTGTTCCAGAGAAGTAAAGATCACGCAGTACAAGTATGTCATGTAATATGAAAATGATATGATGAAATTTAATGTAAAAGTGCAAGTATAATTTAGAAGCCAAATCTTCCAGTACAAGTAAATTCTTTAGTGTGTAGATAAAATGTGGAAGTGTTGTTTCATCTATAAAAATTAGAATCCCTCCTGAAAGAGGAGTATTCTTCAAATATATCCTTTTTTCTTCTTCATTCTCTTTGACTTCTGTCTTTTTTTGTAGAAATCTTGGTTGCAATTTACTGACAGAACTGAGCTTTGGGACATTTCAGGCGTGGCATGGAATGCAGTTTTTGCACAATGTGTAAGTGAAATAGATGATGAATGCATATTTAAAAACCATTTGTGTATAAAAATGGTATATAGTTATGCTTATCTGGGTATTAAGTCCTGTATATAAACTCTGCAAAGAAGGTCTTCATTTCAATTTTTTTTTTCAAAAATCTAACACAAAGTACTCTGGGAGAAAAAGGTTCTGGTGCTTTCTCAGGGTTACCTGCTTTTAAATCATAATGCAAAAATAATTCCTGGGACCCAGCCAAAGGGCATGTCTCTCCCCATCACCCAGATCATGAGCTTTTTCCAAAATGTATTTAACTCTCAATTTATAAATTATCTGTGGATACTAAGAACCTTTATACTTTAGTATAAAAAAAAATAAGAAAATACACTGCTCTAACATAATCCCACATGTTCTGTCCTGACTAAACTGCAACAGAAAGTGAGTTTTATTCCCTTTCAGCTCAATAATTCTGTGATGTTCAATGGCCCGAGGGAATTTTAGATTCAAGATAAAGATTCTCCACTCAACCTGACGTTGAAAGACTATCCACCTGTTCTGTAGTTCAGAATCCCAGTCATAACCATTCTGGTTATGAGGGAAGGTTTTAGGATGTGTGGAGGATGGACCAACAGTGCCTGCAGATCTTGGGGAAGAACACTGAAAGTCTGTTTTTCCTACACCCATACACTGGGGAGCTGGTTCCTGAGGCTCCTACACCAAGTGGTTTTGGTAGAATCAGTAAAAATGGCCTCAACATATATCATTCCATTAGATTCCCTCCTAAGGGGCCTCTTAAGTTTTCTGTAGACAACACAGGGAGAAAATCTGTGGAATCACAGCATATGAAAAGTAATGGATTCATTTAAGAACATTCACTGAGTGCCAGGCCCACCGAGTGCCAGGTGCTATATTAAGTGCTGGGGGTACAAATTGGAACAGGACAGAAGCTTTGTCTCCAGAGACTTTCATGCCAACAGGGGGAAGTTGGGAAAATGAGTGACAGCCATGCTAGCATCTGTGCAGCAAGGCCAGAGAGATGAGCTGAAAAAGTAGGAGCAGAGCTAGGGATGGCGCACAGTACACAAGGCACCAGTTCATTTATCTCAAGATTCTGTGTCCATCTTAAGCCAAAGAAAAAAAAAAGCATTTGCTTCATGGTGATGCAAAAACCAGAGCTAGCTGGTATTGGAAACTAATTCTCTTATCATGTGATCTGAACATATCTAACTCGTGGTTACTTCAAAAATTGGCACAATGGCTGTAATACACCAAGTGTGTGTTGGGAGCTGGTCTCCTTTATTTGGGGACATATTCTTTTATTAGACAAAGCTAATCTGCTTCAAGGAAACTTTTGCTATCCCCGTTGCCCCAGGGAGACACCAGTGATCTTATGACCAAAGATGAGGGTTTTTAAAGTGAAAACAATGCTGTTCACTGCATTACAGAGTCCAGAAAAGAGTGCCAGCTGAGCTGGATTCATCATGAACTGGAGCCTAAGCTTCAAGGCTTTACGCTTGCACGTGCCCCTTCCAAGGTCCTGGGAGGGGCTGGAGCAATTTTTATATTCATAATTCTGCATGTTTCATTATAAGGGATTCCCCAAATTAGGTTAAGCTCACGCTCAGCAAAATCTGCATTCACCGTTACTTTGCACGTACTACATGCAGCCCAGTAAACATTCTTCTGAATGAAGCCTCTGTGTAAACAGCAGTGTGGTAGGATCAGTCTATTGTGAATCTGAAATCCACCTCAAAGACATGCCAAGAGCTTACCAGTGACATAACTCTCTTCAAATAATAATAATCATTAAATCTTTCAGCTGAAATCAGAAATAAATTACAGAAAATCAGCAGTAATTGATAATTCTAAACATTAAGTATACATTTTTTCTTCTGCTTCATGCATGTACATTAAATGTTTTTTTAAAGAAATATTTAGTTGAAAATCAGAGTTACACAGAGAGAGGAGAGGCAGAGAGAGCAAGATCTTCCATCCAATGGTTCACTCCTCAATTGGCCGCTACAGCTGGAGCTGTGGTGATCCAAAGCCAGGAGCCAGGAGCTTCTTCCTGGTCTCCCAAGCAGGTGCAGGGGCCCAAGGACTTGGGCCACTGCTTTCCCAGGCCACAGCAGAGAACTGGATGGGAAGTGGAGCAGCTGGGACTAGAACCGGCACCCATATGGGATGCCAGTGCTTCATGCCAGGGACGTTAACCCACTGTGCCACAGCACCGGCCCCTTGTACATTAAGTCTTAACCCAATGGCTTATTTTTAAAAATTGTTTTAGTCACTTCATTGGTTCTCACAATAAAACTCAGGTCTGCCCTTTGGGGTGTTTTGTAAGGGTTCAAAGGTTTCCACATTGTCACTTCCAGCAACTTTTCTTCTCATAATCTTCTCATCTGCACCATATTCTCATCTGTGTAACAAGAGATCTTCTTTTCTCTTAAGGTACTTCTTCCTCTGCCCCATATGTTTCTAAGTATTCTCTTCATTGCCTTTACTTTTTCTTCTTTAAGATTTATTCATTTATTTGAAAGTCAGAGATGGGGCTGGCACTGTGGCACAGCAGGTTAATGCCCTGGCCTGAAGCGCTGGCATCCCATATGGGCGCCAGTTCGAGACCTGGCTGTTCCACTTCTGATCCAGCTCTCTGCTATGGCCTGGGAAGATGGCCCTAGTCCTTGGGACCCTGCACCTCTCTCTCTCTTTCTCTCTCCCTCTCCTCTCTCTGTGTAACTCTGACTTTCAAATAGAAAGAAAGAGAGAGAGAGAGAGAGAGGAGAGGAGAGGAGAGAAGGAAAGATAGTTACAGAGAGTTGGGGGAGGGGGTCATCTTCCATCCACTGGTTTACTCCCCAAATGGCCAATATGACCGGAGCTGAGCTAGCTGATCCAAGGCCAGGAGCCGGGAGCTTATTCCAGGTCTCCCACATGGGTGCAGGGGCCCAAAGACTTGGGTCATCTTCCACTGATTTTCCAGGCCATAGAGAGAGCTGAATTGGAAGTGGAGCAATGGGGACTCAAACTGACATCCCATGTGTGATGCCGGCACTGCAGGCAGTGGCTTTACTCGCTATGCCACAGCGCCAGCCCCTGCCATACACATCTTTAATTCCTCCTTTTATTAGGTCATTACGTTTTAGGCACTATACTAAGTACTTACACAAGTGAGATAACATGAGGAATGCACAGTAATGCTTGGCAAATGGTACATGATTACACACGTTGCTTCCATCTTCCCAACAACTCTTGCCATTTAGAAACGATGACCCCTATTGTGTAGGTGAGGGAGGTTAAACTGAGATACTAGCAGAGAACTTCCCAGGCTTGGAGAAGGACAGAGACATGCTAGTACAGGAAGCTCATAGAACCCCCAGTAACCATGACCAAAAGAGATCCTCATCACGACACGTTGTAATCAAACTCACCACAGTGAAACATAAAGAAAAGATTCTAAAATGTGCAAGAGAGAAACGTCAGATTACTCTCAGAGGATCTCTAATTAGTTCACACTGTTAATGTGTGATACAACTATTTAGGAACTTTACAAGAAATTTTCTGTGCAGTTCTTTGTTCCCTGGTGAACAAGAGCTGAAGGAGGGCAACTTGACCTTTTTGTGCATTGTACCTTTTTTAAAAGATTTATTTGTTTATTTGAAAGTCAGAGTTACACACAGAGAGAAGGAGAATCAGAGAGAGAGAGAGAGAGAGAGAGACCTTCCATCCGATGGTTCACTCCCCAGTTGGCTGCAATGGCAGGAGCTGTGCAGATCTGAACCAGGAGCCAGGAGCTTCTTTCCGGGTCTCCCACGCAGGTGCAGGGGCCCAAGGGACTTGGGCCATCTTCTACTGCTTTCTCAGGCCATAGCAGAGAGCTGGATGGGAAGTAGAGCAGCCGGACTAGAACCGGCACCCATATGAGATGCCGGCACCACAGCAGAGGATTAACCTAGTGAGCCACGGCGCCGGCCCCCTAGAACAATATTTCTCACACTTTGACTCTGATTTTGGCTTGTGCTGCCACATTTACTCCCACAAGTGTTATCAAAAAGGCAGTGGAGTAGGATTCAATAGACCGCCATTATCAAGTGAGGGAATGGGGCCAGAAATGGAAGCGATCTTCAGTGCGGAATCCATGTGATCCTCAAAGCATAATGGTTCACGGTAAAGAGCGTCTGTAGAGTCCTCCACCTAGAGCTGTGAGACAGTTCCTGCTCAGTCTCTGCACTGCCCATGCACAACCCTAGTGAAGAAGTGAATGCTCTGCAATGGGAGGAAGAGGGGGAGAGTAGAGTGGCCTCGCAGTGTGACTTCACTGGAGACACATGCAAGGCCCCTACGTCAGCTACAGAAGGGCTGCCCCATGAAAAGGAAAGGCTGAGCCATTGGTACAAGGCCATGGGTGCTGCTAAGGAAGAGGGAAGCAGTGGAGAACTGACAAACTTGGCCAAATTGTCTGCGCTGCTTAATGTTCTACCATCATTCTTCACAGCTTGGGGAAAGGGTGCCAAGGGGAGATGCAGAGGCCAAGGAGCCTTCTTGCACAAGGCTCCCTCGTGATCTCACAGAACAAAGAACAAAGAACAAAACAGATGATGGTCAAAGTCAGTCTGAGAAA